GGCAAATCTGCTGCACAGGAACTTTTTAAAGTGTTGAAGAGCAAAGGTGTCAGCTTGAGGACTAAGGTGCCCCTGACCCAAGCCATGGTATTTTCAGTAACCTCATATAGATGCGAAAGCTGGACAGTGAATAAGGAAGATTGTAGAAGAACTGATATCTTTGAGTTGTGGTGTTGGAGGAGAATACTGAAAGTGCCGTGGACTGCCAAAAAACCAATAGATCTGTTTTGGAAGAAGTGCAGCCAGAGTTCTCCTTGGAGGCCAGGATGGCTAAGCTTTGTCTCTCATACTTTGGACAAGGCTTTCTGCTCCTATAAAGATTTGCATTGAAAATGTAGACGAGATGGCTACATTTTTAGAAAAACACAACCTATCTAAACCTAAACACAGTGAAGTAGAAAACCTGAACAGACCCATAACAAAAGAAGTAAATGATCAGGTTGTCATAAAACTCCCAACCAAAAGAAATCCAGGCCCGGATGGCTTCACTGGTGAGTTCTACCAAACATTCTGGGAAGAGCTGTCACTAATTCTACTCAAATTATTCCAGAATATAGAGAAGGATGGAAAATTTCCTAATACATTTTATGAAGCAAGCATAACCCTCATACCAAAACCAGGAAAGGACATCACTAAGAAAGAAAATTATGGACCAATATCCCTTATGAACATAGATGCAAAAATTCTCAACAAAATCTTAGCCAACAGAATCCAGCAACACATCAAAAAGATAATATACATCATGATCAAGTGGGATTCATATCAGTGATGCAAGGATGGTTCAACATTAAAAAAAACATCAACGTAATCCACCATATAAATAAGGAAAAAGCAAAGAACTACATGATCATATCGATTGATGCAGAAAAGGCATTTGACAAAATCCAACATCCATTCCTTATGAAAACACTCAACAAAGTAGGAATTGAAGGGAAACTCCTCAACATAATTAACAGCATATATACAAACCCAACAGCCTACATTACTCTCTATGGAGAGAAACTGAAAGCCTTCCCTCTGCAAACAGGGACTAGACAAGGATGCCCTTTGTCACCACTCCTATTCAATATTGTACTGGAAGTCTTAGCAAGAGCTGTATGGCAAGACAGGGAAATTAAAGGCATCCAAATTGGCAAAGAGGAAGAAAAACTATTTGCAGATGATATGATCCTATACGTAGAAAATCCCAAAGACTCAGTAAAAAAGCTACTAGACCTCATTGGAAGATTCAGCAAAATGGCAGGATATAAGATCAACATACAAAAATCAGTTGGA